TTTTCCTATGTATAGTAGTTTAATACATGAGTGAAGGTATATATAATTTACTTATTACAGGACTTTGTTTTTCCTACGTATAGTAGTTTAATACATGAGTGAAGGTATATATAATTTACTTATTACAGAACTTTGTTTTTCCTACGTATAGTAGTTTAATACATGAGTGAAGGTATATATAATTTACTTATTACAGGACTTTGTTTTTCCTACGTATAGTAGTTTAATACATAAGTGAAGGTATATATAATTTACAGAACTTAAGTTCATCAGTCAAGATATAAAAAAAAACTACTTTAAACCTTACAAAAACAGTTTTTTTACTTACCCTTTGAGCAGCTTGTAAAGCATACAGCCTAAAGAAAACCAGTCTGCACTATAGTCATATGCTGTACCTTTTGACAGAACCTCGGGAGCCATGTACCCGTGTGTGCCCCTGAAGAAACAAGTCAAAAGAAGTGGAATTATTATGCACTGTATGCAAATAGAAAATTATGAAATTACCAGAAAATTTCAAACTCTACTCACACACTTGCATGTGGTTTCTTTTTGGAAAAATCACAGGCCAATCCAAGATCTGATATTCTGCAGTGTCCGTGTTCATCAAGAAGAATATTCGCAGGCTACGGGTGAGATAACGTAACATTTATAGATAACTACATATTACAGAAAAAAACGTGAACTTCTGGTCCAACCAGTCAATAAGTACAGTTTGAAAAGAGAAAAAGTTGTGACACATTCTATGTATATAAAAGTAATTCAAATAATCCAGTTTTCTTTTTACCTGTATCCCTCCCACCAATTAGCTCTGAAACTTTATAGCTTATAACATTAAAATTTGGGGTCTAATCCCCCAAGGTAGACATATCACAGATATCAACTTTGTACTTAACAAAAGACAAAAACTTTAAAAAAACTTGTATTTTATTAATGTGAAATAAAAACATGTAAAAAAAACAAACAATTCGAAACCTTTCTAAATGTCGTCAAGTTAGTAATGCCTTTGTAATGGAAATGATAATGTTCACGACCTCACCTTCAGATCTCTGTAGACAACATATCTTTTATGCATGTGTTCAAGGCCTAACGTGACTTCACTCGCATAAAACCTCATCTCTTCTTCTGAAAAGACACCATGTTGTGACAGATGATAATGCAAATCACCACCTACAAATACAAACAGTACAACAAATCATCCAGTGAGCTCACCATGGTGTGACAGATAAAACTTATCACCACCTACAAATACAAGAAAATACTAATCTATTTGTGTTCAATAGACATAATAATATGAATAAACTTCAAGCTAGAAATACAGACCTGCCCACAAAGAGAGAATAAGATGAGCAGATCTTTGCTAAACATCTATAATATTATTCTGCTTGTTTGTATGTACGACCGTTACGCTTTCTGACCGAGAACCTGCTGCATAACCACGCGTAATTAGAATGTTTCCCCAAGAAAAACTGTGCATGCTCATTATTCACTCGACGACAAACAGTCTGCCTGAGGCAGAGAGATGCAAAGCTCAGTGATCAAGTTGCTACAATTGCTGTATGAAACAAGAAGTAACAACAAAAGGAGAATGTAAATACACTTTACTAACCATTTTGTACAACAGAATATTAAAAACTTATCAAAGTGTTTAGAAAAGGTTTGACGTTAGGTCGTAGAATAACATTATAAGTTTATTTATCGATAGTATTAAGTACAGTAAAGTTTAGTCCTAACTAAACTAAAGTAAAAAAAAAAGAATGTACACAGATTACAATGTTAATTTATCTCTTTGTCGAACTTATGCCTAACATAAGTTAAAGTTTTATAAAGTACAGCCTATATACAAGTGGATTTACACACTTCGTTGTCTACGATTACAATTCGTTTATATTGTGCTAGAAATGTTATATTTAAAGAAGTACTGTTACGATAAAGATACTAAATTGGCCGGAAATGTTTTGCGGGTCTCTGCTAGTGATTATTAACAGCATTGAATAAACAATCATTTGAGTAGTTCCACTTACCATTCATGAGATCTAATATAAAACAAAGTTTATCTGGAGTTTGAAAAGCATAAGTCATGCACACTATAAAGGGACAGTCCTCCTGAAATAGAAAAAAAAGTCAAAGTTTCAATTAAATGTAATCATAAAACTTTTTTAATGTATATTTACCTTTCCACTGAGTATTATAAATGTTTTCTAAATTTCTAACCTATCTTCTTCCAGTTAAACAGAATCAATTGTTATTTATACTTACTTCTGTGAAGCGTCCTACCGACCTTCAACGACTAGAATGATACAAATGGCATAAAATTATTACTGTATTCACTAAATTCTTTGTGTGTGTGCGTGTTAGGCTACAAAACCCCACGGTACTAGTTATTAAAATCTGTTGTTTACAAGATATTAAACTCTGCTGTTTGAAAGAAACAACACAGTCCTGTATTAAACTCTGTTATTCTGTGAAACTATAAATGTCTTCATTTATTAAACCACTATACATACGAAAAACAAAGTCCTGTAATAAGTAAATTCTATATACCTTCACTCATGTATTAAACTACTATACGTACGAAAAACAAAGTCCTGTAATAAAAACTTGTAACTTGTGAGGATTGGTGCAAGAACTGGGGAAGTAGCGGGTATCACCCTCAAATTGAGATATTCCTATGGGGACGAAAACAACATTGAAATTTCAGCTTAAGCTTTCATTTATCAAAAATAAATAAAAAACACATTTATAGTATCACATATGACTCAATACAATATCCTTCATGTGTAAGTGATATGTAACTGTCCATTCCTGTTTAGCTCCAAGCAATTAATGGGATTTTTTAACATATTTATAACTTAGTTAGAAAGCCAGTTAAATTACAGTAGTTTTGGGACATTCTACTCTAGTGCCCGATATATTTTGTGTGTTCTAAAAAGCCTATTTGGAACCAACAATGAATTATTTCCTTAACAACTAATATACTGAAAAAAGTAGTCTTATCGAAGTATGCTCCCTGGCACAGATTGGCCTCAAATAGACACACATGGAATTGAATAAGTTTGAATTTCAGCTTATTCTTAATTTGTGTACTACCCAAATTTTCTTTATCTAAAAGTAGCTTTTAATAGTAACAAAAATAATTTTAAATGTGTTAGAAATCTGGTAATAATTACCCAATTAATATACACACGTTAAGCATTCACCGTTTTAAATTTGATAACATTATATTTATTTTCAACGGTATTTTCCAAAGTCTGTCCTGATTCACCAAAACATACACTCTCTGTCCACACTTGCTTTCACAAGACTAAGCGTAATTCCGCTAGCGAACAGCTCCTAACACTTAGTTTCAGCTTACCCCTTTCCTTTACATCCAATCCTTTTGTCAACATCTCTTTGCAATAATCCCAGGAGAAGTATCTTCAGTTCTGGGGAAAAGGATTCCGGGAGTTCTACATTCTAAGAAAATAAAATAAAAATACAGCTGGTATTTTCCTGTGAAATATTACAAGATTTTTTTTTTATATAACTGCTGTCAAAACATCAAACAAATTTAGTTTTTTTTGCTTATACAATGCAATCACAAAAGAAGAATGAGAACCTTTTTCTTCATTCGTTAAGAAAGGTAAACATACAAAAGAATTTCAAGAAAGAAAAGATGAAAAAAGGAAAATAAAACTTGAATTGTTAGTGGCAGATATTTCTTAAAATACAAATTTCTGGTGGTTTCTTTTACAATCCAAATGACCTTATAGCTTTTTGAAATATGTAGTTTAAGGTTAAATTTTAAAATACAAAGTGTTTTCAGTTTTTTAATAATGACAAACTTTTCTCTGAATAAGAAAAACTAACTCATCGAGATGAGTTAATACAGAAGTAGTTCCCAAGATATTATGAATCAATACCGAGGAAATCAAGTCCTACCATTGTGAGAGTCATCTTATCAATCTCGTGTTTGTCCTTGGTTTTATGCTGACGAAACGGGCTGTGGCTACAGTAAAAATTAAAAATACTTAGATCAACAACATTCTCAATTTCTGTTTGGAATATTTTCAGTTGTAACTTACTCTTACGTCTTAGTCCAATTTCGAACCAGTAGTTAAGAAATATAAATCAGTGAATAGAGAAAACATCAAAGTTTAGTAACTGCTGTTTTCTGTTCATTATTTATTCGATCCCTAACTTCAGATAAATATAGAAACACCGAAACTGACTTCTGAAATGTTTTAAACAATCAGTGAAAACTAATTGTGACACATTAAAACTAAAATGAAATCTCAACAAAGATTCTAAGATAAAAAAAGTACCATTTTGGTTACTAGGGATTCGAACTGGCAGTGTAATTTTAAAAGTGATAAAAAAATTAAAAGCAAAGAGTGGAAAAATGAGCTTAGTAGGACATAATAAATTGAAAAAATACAGTTCAGACCGAGATTTGTATCACTGGTAATCCCGAAACTTGCCATACTGATCCTAGAGTGGACACTCTCAAGTTGTGGACAATGGGAGCAACTTTCAACAAGTCTTATTCCTGTTTATTGTTTAACATTCATTATATGTGTGTGTGTGTTGACACACACACACACAT